CCTCCCTCCAACACGCCCGTGCTCCTTTATCCGCTCACATGGAGGTGGCTTTCCCCATCCCTGTCCTCATCCTCTCCCAGCAAGGACCTGTCCCACTTGGATGCTGACATGGGATGAGAGCTCCTTGTTGGAACTAACAAAGCCAAGTTTGGTCCGGGTGAGATGAGCAGGTGCAGAGCGCTTGCCATCCCTCATCCTACAGCAGCCAGGCCTCGCCACATCCATGGGAAGCCTCACGACTGAGCTCAACCACCTCCAGTCCCCTTCAAGAGACGCCCGGAGAGCCACTTGGAGACATTGAGATGTGACCATGCACACAGCACTTTGGAGAACCAGATCCCTGCTGTTCCCTCCCCGCTTCAAGGCCTGGGCAGCTCCTAGGAGTCCAGCGTGGCCTCCGAGCCCTTTTGTCTGCACACTTGTTTGGCCCTGATGTGTCCTGTCGTGTCTGGTGTTCGTTAACGTTCTCAAATGAGTCACTCTCACAGAGTCTTGTCCCGCTTTCATCCCGGTTGGACCATGTTGGCACCCTTTAGGTTAGATGGGGGATGAGACAGGAAGTCGGGCCCGTTGTGTTCAAGCTTTTTATATTTTATTTTATTTTTTTATTTTTAACTCTTGCACCTTAACCTCTCACATCCCTTCTTCGACAGACTGCAAGGGTGGAGAGGGGCTTGATTCCCATTATGCAGCTCACAAATACACCCCAACGCGACGTTCGGCCGACGGCTCTGCCCGCACCCCAGACCTGTCGGCATTTGGTTTTGATTTTCCCTTCGGTTGAACTCTGGGGAGGGATGGAGCTGGGCAGGGAGGGTTGTTTTTGTTTTATATATCCCAGGAGCCTGGTAGCACAGACCAGTTAGCCTCATAAAGTCCATGAGGTGCGGCTGGCCCTTCGGACCACAGCCATAACCCAAGCGCGATGGGAAGGTGATGGACTGACAGATGGTGGGAACGGCTGTGACAGTGCAATAGAGACGAGCATCCGCTGCTAGACAACTCCACTGATTCAACTCTTGGTTTGCCTGAAGTCAAGAGGGAAGGACAGATGGACAGATGCCCTTGGTTCACACGGACAGAGAGAGCTTCCCCAAACGCAGCCCTGCCTGATGAGACACAACAGCAACGGAGTTGGGTTGAACTTACAAAGAAAGAACTTTTTCAAAGAACAGGAAAAAAAAAAACAGGAATAAGAACAACCTCAGTCGCATGGAACTTGAAGGAAACGAATGAAACCCCAAGCACTTGCCTCAGAACTAGTTTCTCATGCCTGGTGTTTGGCTCTGTATTATTTTATGACATTCAGTATCAGTTGCCCAAACATGCCAACTTAAGAGTGTATTGGTGGCTCTGCTAGTGTGAACAAACTAAACGAAGCACTTTATTCTGTATAGATAAGGGAAGACAGGGAGGGGAGGGGAAGCTTGGATGCGTTTCAGAAGCGTCTTAAGTAACGTTCTAGGAAATGTATTATTATTATTATTATTATTATTATTACTTTTTTTTTATGACCATGTGTAATCAATATATGTTTATCTCTAACGCCAAGTACAGCAGTTACTCTCTTTGGGATGGTGTGATGAGGGGGAGGCCAACCCTGCTGGTTCATTGTGAGGCCACCAGGGGTGAGTTTTGCCTTGTTGTTGGCTCCATTGGCTGATGCCCGGGAAGTCCCAAGAGGTGCATCAAAGCTGCCTTCCAAGCACAGCTCACAGCCAGCCTTGGCACCACGACCCCAGCATGCATCGCCATCCTAAGCTGTCATCAGCCCACAGGTGCTGGAGCTGCTCTCTGGGCTGCCCGTGAGCACGACAAGCCATGGTGGGCTGTTCTGGGGTGTCCATAGAGGCCAGGTCCTTGGCCGTGCTTTGAAACCTGCTTTTGGCCTCTCACCAAGGCACGTTCAGGGCTTCCTGAAAGCGGTGAGAGGACAGAACTGGGCCTTTCCACTGCGTTCTCCCGGTCTAGAAGTGTTACGACTGTTACCAAAGAGGTTGCAAGTGGAAGGACTGAATCAATAAACAATTTGTCTTTTATAAAAGAAAACGTGGAGCTCTACCCCTTTCTTTGTTATTGTGGCATGCTCTCACAGCTGCTCTTGCATCACATATGTGGACTTTGTGTTGGGTTTGGTGGGAGGTGTGTGTCTGTGTGAGACAGCCAGGCCGCTGTGGGACCAATAGAAAAATACCTTTTCAGGGAAGGGTGATGAGGGGGTAGAGGAAAGGCTGGATGCTTATGGCCCTGAGGTGCTAGAGGAGGTGAGGACTGAGCTCCAGGGTCACATTGAGGGCACAAAATTTGAGTCAACTATGAGACAAGGCTCCCCAAGCACCTCTGAAGGGAAATGAGAAACCGAAGAGCCCATCCAAAAGCACCCAGCATCTTTATTGATTTGAAATGGAGTTATGGGAACCTGGCCGGCGCCGATACTGGGAAGCCAATGGAAGAAGAGCTGATTCTGCTGCACCTTTGGGATGTAACCTTTCAGCTAGCATTGCTGGAGGAGATTTCCACAGGGGACGTGTCCTGATGGAGTTGTGTGCATCTCAGCAAGGAAGATGCTGGGCAACAGCAAGGAGTGGTGCCTCCCTGAAGGTTGGATGATTCGTCTACTGAAGGTTGTCTTTGGGCTGTAACAGCCTCTTGGTGAGAGGTGCTGGACAGTCTCTGGGCCAGACTTTTGCTTGGCCATGTGCTGGCTTCCTCGGACGAGCTCTGGCTGGCGTTGGCCCTTTTTGCCTACACGACGGGAGATTTCAAACTGCTGCTTTATCATCTCTTGCTCTGTGCTGAAGGTGGTACCTCCTAAAGCTTGTGATGGATGTGAACAACATGGGAGTTCTCAGCTCCTATTAACCAAACTCCCAGCAGACAGGCGCAAGGTGAGGACCAGGATGCTGACTGGGCTTAATCACTGCTTCTCAAGCCATTATCAAGGGACCACACTTCACTAATTACACAGCACAGCAATGCTCCCAATGACTTCAAAGGGCCACGCCATTGGCATCAAAGGGCCCATGTTTCCCCCAGGAGCAGCTGAGCCGTGAGGAGAGGAACCATGGGGAGGAACCCTCCCTCAGGACCAAGCAACAACAAGTTTCCATTCTGCAACCAGCAAGAACTGCTGAGCTACTGGTTTCCAGCCCCAGGCGGGAGGTGTTGTCCCACCCCTGCAACACATGACTTCGTTTTTGAATTCCAGGCTCTTTCCACTTCTGACACAAGCCATTATAATGGCCTGGGAGCCTTCCATGGGAATTTCTCCAGAACTGGAGGGAGGGTGGCCATTTATTTATTCATTTATTGGTTTGTTTGGCCACAGATTTTTTCTTCATGTTTGGTTGTTTCAAACATTTTGGTTGCTTAATTTTTTTTATTTTTTTTTTTCCTTTTTAATGCTATCAGCTGCCAGCCAGTCCCTTCAGATTTATTTTTCTCGTGAAAACGTTTCATTGCTCTTCTGACATAATCGTCTTCTAAGGAGATTATCCTGTAATTCTTAGAAAATCCTTACGGTGAAGGCAGGACAAATCTCTGGCTCCTTTACTCGTGGAAAAATGTCTTTACTTCCAAACTGGTTTCAGTTTCTCAAGGCTGCGTGTTGAGCTAGACGAATCAGCCAAGCTTCTGATAGCATAAAGTTTGTGCTGCTTTGAGGGCATTCATTTACAAGATCCGTATTTGTTCTTTTTCGTTACGATCACCCCTGTTTGTTGCACCACGTGATGCTGTAGGCATCCAGCTGGTATTTCTCTTCCTAGATAAGTTTCTAGTTCTTATGTCTACTGAGAAAAGCTTTGAGGACACGAGCTCTGAAATGGGGGAAAATCTGGGGCTCCCCGTGGGGCTGGATTTCTCCAAGCTTCTCATCACAGCTTTTTCTCAGTCCTTGCATTTGGTTGCTGTGCACATCCATTTACAGCTCCATCAACATTCAGAGAAAGGAAATTTTGGGGGGAAATATTGTCAAGATTTATTCTGAAATGAACTGCAGGTCACTCAGCATGGACATCGTTAGATTTTTGGTCTAACACCTCTCTGTCCTGCTGCTGGTACAGCCGTGTTTCTAAGAAAACATCATCATGATCACTTAAAAAACAAAACAAAACAGAACACAATGCATTTTGTCTCAGCAGGAAGCTCTATTTGAGCCAGACACTGCTGAGATCTCCAAGAATTCTGCAAATTAGAATAGTGCTTTAAAAAAAAAAAGTTTGTAACGATAAAAATGAAAGCATAAATATAAAACCTTTCCCTAAAGAAAAGCACTTGTCTCTCCATACATGAGGACGTTGTAGTCTGTGATTGACTACAAGGAGCCCTAAGGGATGGAGATGAGTGTCATAGCCGTAGCCCCTCTTGCAGCCCTTACCTCCTTGCATCTCTTCAAGGCAAAGTCAGGATGGAGGTGAAGAACTAATTTTTTTTCCTGTTCATTGTAATGTTGAAGGAATTTCTGCTGCCAGTGCTCACAAACCTTTTTTCTTACAGCCTTCTCATCTCTATGACCTTCGCCACGTGGGAACTCCTCAGAGTCCCCCAGATCTGACCTGCACTACCTCCCTTTCCCCTCTGAAGTGCTTTGTAGCACAAAACCTGCGGCTGCCTTAGGTGAGGAAACGTATCAGAGACCCTTTTGTCTGGAGAAACTTAATGCCTTCAGAACCCCCTTCTAGATCCACTGATGGCTGGAGAAGATTGGAAAAAACATGGAGAAAAAACACGGAACAAGAGAGGAATCTCTTTGTTCTGCCAATTGAGGCTGGATTAGCGCATTGCTCCATGTTTGTTTGTCTTCCCCAGCAAAATCCTTTTTTAGTTACCTTCTGAGCATCAGCAAGTTGCCATAATGCTTCAAGTCAATTTTCCCCCTCTCCCATTTGACTCAGTGAAATGGTACCAATCACAGACACAATGTCCTGCACAGTATCTAGAGAAACTACATCTCCTACCACTCCCCATCCCTCCCTGCCCACTGAAGCAAGGAAATGATGCTACATCTTCGTTAGCCGCAAAACATTGAGGCGCACGGGAAGGAAAGTGGCACCAGAGGCATATTGGATCTCACGGAGGACCCCTTCCCACTTCTTCTGCTCTTCGTCGTATCTGAGGAGAGACAGACAGACAGCTGTGGCGAGGAAAGCATCCCCTCTCTCCACCTTTTGAGCCCCCCACCTTCGCAGCACCGTGCTACGACATGCCAATAGCAGCTGCTGGAACCCTGGCAGGTGGGTTGGTACCACCAAGATGGAACATCCGTGGTGAAGGCCAGGAAATGCCTGCTGAGGGTGCTCTACAGCCACAGACCCGAGGGATGGGAGCTAGCCCTGCAGGAGCAGCTGTCAGAAAGTGCTTTCTGTCTCTGCTCCCATGTAAGACAATCTGCTTTCCAGCCCAAGCACTGGCTTTTCTCAAGGAGAGCATTCGTTGTACAAACACTACTTTGAGCCAAAGGGGGGGTCTGGAACCATCTCCAAACAAAATGGCAATTTGGGAGAAAGGAGATTTTCCCTGCTATTTCCCTATATATGAGGCTGGGAGAAACCACTGAACCACCTAACGTGCCTTCCAGCACAGTACAGGGCACACATCTCTCCCAGAGACTTCATGCAGCCTCGTGTTGGTGTAGCAGCATTTCTCTCAGACTGAAGGCATAAAGACCAAAACTATTTGTTTCCCTGGTGTCTGCTACTGAGTATCATCCCCCATCTCCCATGGAGAGCCCCGGGGAAGGTCATCACCTCCAGACGTCGTTCAGCTCTGTTGGCACCAGCTCCCCGGACTCCGTCTCCACCGTGGCAAATCCTCCAAGCAGGTAGAGCACCCCAGACAGGCTCACCAGGCTGACCGAGCTGCGCTCCTGAGGGAACTCAGGGAAAGTCTCCCACCTGCCGTGGAGAGAGGGACATGTTAGGGCACCCTGCCCACCCTTGGGTCTCAGCAGCACCCTGGGAATCAGTGGCTGAATCAATTCACGGCAGGCTCATTTGTGTACCTGGGATGTTGTTTGGGATGGGATCATTCATTTCATAGTGCTAGAAATATCTGTTTTCATCATCATAGCTCTGCTTCATCTTCTGTGAGTAAATGAGCTGCAACGTACACCTAGCATGGACCAGCAGGTCCCATTGCTGGACTGGATCCCAGAGCCCAAACTCAGGGAACACGTTTCTTGCACTGGGTGAAGATGATAAGATGAAACAACAGCCTCGCAAAGCACCCAACAGCTCAACTCATTGATGACCCACTTTTAATCGGAGCCTGGAATGATCCTGAGATGGTTGGACTGGATGATCTTAAGGGTCTTTTCCAGCCATTGTGATTCTGTGATCCTCAATAAAATGGTACTAATGACAGAAGCAACGTGCCACATAATGTCCTACTCAGTGAGGCCTCATTGATGCCCAAGGGAGGAACTGATGTGAGGAGCTGCAAGAATGGTTGGAAGCTCTTAGTGTACACCTACAGCTGGTGCAACTACAGCCCAGAGGTGCTCAGTACGTACTTGTTGGTGGCAATGTCGTACACTTCCACTGAGTTGGTCAATCCAGAGTCGGTCACGCCAGCTGCCACATAGATTTTGTCTTTGTGCACAGTGGCTCCAAACAAGGAACGAGCAGTTTTCATGGGAGCCAGCTCCTTCCACTCGAACTTATTGGGGTTGTAGACACACATCTTCTTCAGGCACTTCCTAGAGAAAGAGGAGAGAGAAGGGGAGCGTAAATTGTCAGCCTTGCTCTGCAGGAGTTTGGGGATGCCAGTTGTGAAGAACATGGCTCTTTAGAAAGGATTTCAGTTCCCTCTGTGTTGGCCTTGGGGCATTTGCTTGGATAGGCAAGCTTGACACATGTTTGCCCATGCCCAGGGACGCCATTTCTGTGTGCAACACATCCGTTCCTGATGTGACTGCTTTGGATAAGGAATCTGAAAAGCTCAGTGCTGTGTGTGCACACCTGGATAAAGAGTCCATAACTGCCTCGCAGGACCTTGTGTGCAGCCTTCAGATGCTGTTTCAGTACTGTTGACTCAACCTAACACTGCAAAACACCCTCACAAAAGTTGCCCAACACAGCAGTGTAAGGTGAGTGAATGCATGTCATACTCCTCCAGACCAGGACTTCTTTGCTGGGTTACAACAAGTTTTGCTCACTCTATTGAGATGATTTCCAGGTTTCTCTTGATTTTTGACCTACTTGTCACTTCCTTTGCCTCCAATGACATAGACAAGGTCCTTGTGTGATACCACTGCGTGGCCGTAGACTGCGTAGGGAAGGGAATCAGCTTCACCCCACTTGAAGGACCTGGGTCAGGGAAAGATGGGAAGAAAAAGGATTTGTAGCTTGCTGGGTGAGGCCCACAGTGCACAGTGCAGATCCTGACAAACAGAAAACACAGTATCTTAAAAGCATGAAGTTTCCAATGGGATAATGCTCAACAAGTGAAATGCTCATCTTAAAAAGAAAACAAAGGGAAAAAATGTTTTTCTGCATTGTGTAAAAAATGAAATCCAATGAGACTTAGAGGATACTCACAGCTTTTCCATGACAGAGGCTCCTGCTTTGTCCTCAAGTGGGGCTTTAGCACACCTCATGCCTTTATTTTTACTTCTTTCTGGTTTGTGCTGGGTGGCCAAAAATGGAGCCAGCTAAAATTTGGATGTATTTGTGGTGCCTAGACCCAAAGGAAGGCTAAACACCTATGCTCAGTGGGCAGGCACATAGGCCCAAATAGGGCTGGAGTTTCTCAGGATGTGTTTTGATGTCCACGTAGCTCAGGTTCATTGAGAATCATAGAATCAGAACTGTTTGAGCTGGGAGGGAACCCTAAAGGCCATCAGGTCCCATCCCCACAATGCACAGATTCCCACAGTTCCATCAGGTGCTCACAGCCCCATCCCCTGACCTTGAATGTCTCCAGGCACGGGGCACCACTGCCTCCCTGGACAATCCATTCTAGTGCCTCACCATATAGGATCAGCCTCCAAAGACCTGCACTTCATTCTACCTAAGAATGGAAATGCCTCCTAATTGCCTGACCACTCCAGTTGCTTCCATAGACCAGCGCTTTGTCCCCTCCAGGTTTGCTATAGTTGAACTCTTTACCTAAATTACACCAGAAATAGGAGTGGTGTTGCTCATATCTCTGCCAACTTACAGCCAACACTCAAGCCACCCCTGCACAAATGGCAGGAGAACTCACAGTGCTTCCCAGATAATACCCCGTGTTCTGGGGAAATGAAATTGGTTTCAAATCACAGCCTCTAAAACAGTCTTTGAAGCAGATATATCTAAAAATAAATGGAGCAGAGGCTTGTTAACACCTACCACTCTGCCTCTTTAGGGCAGAGAGGAGCAGCCTTTGGATATTTCTGCCTCCCAAGAGCAGAACAGGACGGTGCCTCTAAATACAGCTCATGACATAACCTGGTTCAGAGCCCATTGTGCAAAAAATAATTGGATATTATGCCCGATATCCATCAGGGTGGGCCATTCAGTGCCACATCTGAATACTTTCAAAACAAACTTTCCTGTCCAAAGGCACGCCCCGTGAGACCTCAAACCAACGGGCAGCAGCAGAAGGAAAAGCTTTTCCTCCCCTTTCTCCTCTGGATGGGTCCCACGTGAGCATCTGCCAAGATCACTCCTTTGTAATTTAATATCCCCATTTCTACTTCCACCTTGGGAGCTTCGATTACAACAAGCGATGCTGCTGCAGAGAGCAGCTCAGAGCCCCACAGCACAGCCTGAGTCCCAGGGTCTGGCTGCAGAGTTCGAGCCTTGTCACTGCGCTCCGTTGGTTGCTGGGGAGCCGGATTCACTTTGCACAGCAGCTGCCCCACTTTCCCCTGCTGACCTCCTCCTGCCCCACGCCTGCACCCAGGCACTTACAGGCGGTCGTAGCACAGCACTGAATCCAAGGTCTGCTCTCCCTCTTTCAGCTCTTTCCCTCCGACCACAAAAATGGAGTTTTCTGCCTCTCCCAGGCCAAAGAGGCAGCGAGGGGAAGGCAAGGGGGGCATCCCCAGCCAGTCTGAGTCCAGATGGTCATACTGAAAGGAAACACAAGGTCATTAGTGTGTGTCTTCCTGCAGAATCCAGAGGCTCAGAGCAGCACCCATTCCCACTTGCAGCTTGTCACAGGGACGTGTTCCACTCTGTGCAAAGCCTTGACTTGGAACAAGCTTGGCCATCTTTGGGTGAAAGATTTCCATGTTGGACTTCAGTCTTAGAGATTTTGCCAGAACCTCTCTGGAAGCAGCATTTGTCTAGGTGCTTCATTGTGATATTTTCCATCTCCTCGAGGTCACGGTGTATTGCCTACAATTTGGGCTAAATAGCTCACTCACCTCAGCCAGTGAAGAGCAAAATGCTTTCTCCTCCCACCAGTTCTCCTTCCTGCTGGCAAAGATCAAGCAATGGCTTATTCCTCTGCTTTTCAGGATGCTGGTGTCCCCTACCACCTCACTGTGTGAATGAAATGCATGTGCTTCTGTCTGCACAAAAGCCCTTTACACAACACCTGTCTACCCAAAATCTACAGTGTACAACGAAGTTGAGATCACAGAACAGAATCATTCAGGTTGGAAAAGACATCCAAGCTAACCAAAACCAATGCCAACCCACCCCACCATCCCCACTGACCACATCCCTCAGTGCCAGACCTCTAATGGTTCTGGGACACCTCCAGGGATGGTGACACCACCACCTCCCTTGGCAACCTGTGCCAATGCATTATCACTCTTCAGAGAATATTTTTCTCCTGACATCCGACCTTAAGAGATGAGACTGCAAAGACCAGAGCTCTTCAATGCTGACCAAAGTGTGTGATAAGACATGGAGACTGAGACGTGCAATGCAGGTAGATCAGATGACCAAATCTTGGATGTCTGTGGATCAAGGCATTCCTCCACCAGAGAATAAAAAGTCATGACATATTATGAGACAGAATGGGGGCTGGGGGGCACTTTGGACACCAAGGTGTTCAGTGGGAGCTGTAAAATGGGTCAACGCTTTTAAGACAGCTTGGCAAGGAGCATCACAGGTCGAGTCCGGAGTGACCTCTAGCAGCCGTTTGGTGGAACCCTGCAGGAGGAAGCTGTGATGGAGCACAGCCTGAAGCACTGTTTTCTATGGGCTCGGGCCAAGAAGTTGCCTCCAAAGCCTTGGCCTCAGCTGAGTGCCTGTGATTGTTGTCCCTTTGTGAGCTGTGGTCCTCGTTTGTGTTATTTATGGTGCAGGCCTGAGCAGCACCGTCACCAGGAGAGTTCCTGCTCCTCGATGGGTTCAGTATTGTTTTCAAAGCATAAATCTTAGAAGTGACAAATAGAGGATACCGTTTTCCATCTGGAATGTCAACGGAATCATTCTGTTCCTGCCAAAATCTGCAAGGCCTCTGGGATTTATCAGCACTTATTTATATTGATGCTTGCCCTTAAGTGTAAACTAATCCTGACTGCAGGAGGAACAAGAAACTGGGGAGGACAGAAACAGAGTCAGGAGGTGTAAGAGGCTGCTGCATTGTACAGGGGTTCATTGTACAGGGACCAGCCTGCATCCTTGCGAAGCTCCAGCTGAAAAAGGCTGAGAACACCTTATTCAGACAGCAACACATGCTGAGGGCAATGATGAAAGCAGGTTGAATGGGCATCCAGATATCTCCCATCCAACTCTGCTGCTCAAAGTCACCAGGGCTTTCTACAGTTCGATATGAAATGTCCCCCAGGATGAAGGTTTTGTGACCTCTCTGGACTGCTGCTCCACTGCTGCACCACCTCCACTATGAATCTAACTGAGATTTCCCTCAGTGTATCTTGAGGCTATTGCCTCTTGTCCTTTCTATGTGCAGCCTTCCAGCCCTCACCATCTTGGTGATCTCTTCTGGCCTCACACCAGCACCTCTGTGTCTTTCATGTGCTGAGAAGCCCCATATTGGACTCGACGTCCACATCCACACCCATCTCACAGATGTGGTCTCCCATACATCCAGATGCAGTCTCACAAGTGCTCAATCAAAAGGAATAAATCACTTCCCTCAACATGTTTGCTGCAGCCCAGGGCATGGTAGACCTTCCCAGCTGCCCAGGGAATTAACTTGCCTGGTCAGCTGCAAAAAAGGTGGAGGACTGATCTTTAGACATAGGTTTAGGCTGAATGTGAGCACAGCTAGGCATGGAGTTGCCCGTATCTGCTGTGGTCAAAGCTCCTTTTCAGTGCAAAAGGTTGTGTGCCTAGCACTAATTCCCCAGGCACTCCCCACTGCCTTCCCTCTCCATTCTGCTTTCTCAGGCTGCAGTCTCTTCCCATTAACTCCTCATTTCACGTGGGCTGCATAGGCTCCTAAGTCTGGCACTTCAGGTGAGGACAAATACATTCCCTGCACACATGGCACAGGTACACAGCCCTACTCATGCAACATGGCAAGGATCAAACTTCTGTGTCTCAGCATGGGAGCTGGTGTTGCTTTATCCTTCCAACACTCCGTCGCTTCCTTCCAAAACAGATGTGAGCCATGGGAACTTGTTTACCCAGGAGATTTCTGGGTAGAGGGGGAAGGACATAGGATTTACTGGATTCCTACAGGGTCGGCAGGAAAGGCAGTGCCCTGTTAGGTCCCCATAAGGAAGGTGCTCTTGGGTTACAACCCAGCCTGGGGCTCAGATTGCCTGCTCACAGCCCAACCTGCTCACAGCTTTGGTTATTGCTGAGTTAGAATAGCCACTTTTCCTGTTAGATATCCCCCAGAAATGCCACAGCAGAGATTCCCTTGCACACGATGGAACTAGAACACAATCAGGGACAAGAACAGCATTGGAAAAGAGGATGATATTGGTAGGAAGGGACATGTTCCATGTTCCTGCAGTGTTTACTCTGTGGCTATAAGTGCTGCTGTTCCCTGTGTTGTCAACTGGCAGAATCATCTCTGTGTTTTGCTGGGGGTTCATGCCCACAGAACATAAAGGATGCAAAGACCTGGTGCCTCCAACCTAGTTTGTGTGCCCTTTGGCAGGCAGGGCTGGAGCAAATGAATTTGCCAAAATGATGTCAGGTTCAGGATTTGGACCATTAAAGCCTTCTTCATCAATGACCAAAAACCCCTTCTAGTGGTATGTACTTCAAGAATGCAGCAAGAAAGTCTCTAATAAAGCAACTTAAATGTTTCAACTTCACTTACCTCTTTCATTTTAGCATCACATGACAATAGATATTGCTAACATCAATTCAGACTGACCGTGCTCCTGGTCAAAGAAAATAAAGAAGCAAAGACTGTACAATACCTGTAGGAAGTAGGAACTCATGGGATCCTCTTTGCTGTCCTCATTGTAGTACAGTCCTCCGACAATGAAGATCTGATTCTCTTTGGTCACCAGACTGACGTGGTTCTTTGGGATTTGAGCAGACAGGGAGGCAAAATAGCACTCGTTGGCAGTGGGATCATAGGCCACTGCTCCACTGTCGCTCACCATGAAAATGAGGTCCTGGAGGAACATCCCAAAGCGCATCGTGTCATTTAAGATCCCTGGAAGCACATCTTCCTCTGTCTCTTCCTCCTCATCTATTGCTCCATTGACAACATTGCCTTTTGCTTGCTTTTCATCACTTTTCTTCACTTTCTTCTTCTTCACCACGGTGAATTTGCCTTGCTGGGCATCCTTCACCATCTGCAATTTCTTGAGCAGCTCTGGGCTGGACTTCACCACAGCCTGCTTCTCCACGTGGTCCTTGATGTAGTCCTTGGGCATGAGGCGGAAGCGAATGCTTTCAAAGACAACAGGCAGGGCCTTCTGCCGGCTCTCCTGGTCCTTGGTGCCCACCCACTTCATCACCACCTCAAAGACATTTTCCTCTTTCTCAATGTTGAGGGAGTCACTGGAGATGATGGCGATGAGCTCATCGGGTGAGAGCTGGTAGAATTCCTCATCACGAGAGACCAGTGCAAAGCGATCGCAGATGAAATCTCGAGCTGCCACAGCCAGCCGGGCGCAATCCAGCATCAAGCCCAGCCTGAAGATAGCCAAGCAGTTGCTGAGGCAAAGGCGCTTCTGCAAGAAAGACACGCAGACAGTGAAGATGGAGGGGATCTGGAACATGTTGGCCACAGAGAAGATGTCCTGAACATTCTGCTCTGTGATCTCCAGCTCAGAGGTGTAGATGTAATGGAGGATTTTGCCCATGACATCTGGATCGACATCTTCCAAGCTGACCTCCCTCTTCTTGCTCTCTTCCATGTCCGAGAGGAACATTGCCCGGAAATAGGGGCTGCAAGCTGCCAGCACCAGCCGATGGCAGGGAAACTCCTTTCCCTTCACTTTCAAGACACAGTCCAGAAACTTGTTGTGGTCCAACATGTCTTTGAGCCCATCCTGGAGGAGGGTTTGCTGGTAGAGACGCAGTTCTTCCACTTGATCAAAAGGCAAACCCATGGTGGAGAGTGAGAACTCCTTTTCTTCCCTAAGCTTTCTTTTGTGTCTATTTACAAATATATCTGTATGTGTGCCTTTGGTAAAGAAACTTTCTCAAAGCGGGGCTCGCAGGTCTCCCTTTCTTCCAGACCGTCAGCACACTGGGAATGTGAAACTCTCTACTGTCGCAGCTGTCTGTGTACTTCAGCTTCCAGCGCAGGGCTTTATATATAGCCACCGTGTTACAAAGCTTCAGGAATCCATTTTGGAGCATGTGTAAGCTGATCACCCTTCAATATGACACACTGGGCAAGGGGGAAGGGAGGGGACTGGGGGGAACAGCTGTACTTCAGCCTCGATGCTTCAGGAACCGTCTGTCAGCTGATGAGTCACCACGACCCCTGATGGAAGGACGGGTGCGACCCTATGACAGCTCCACCGCACTTGGGAAATGTCCTCCAGATGAATCAAACACCGTAATCTGCCTCCTGGGTCATGAATGGCAGGGATGAGACCTCTGACGCTGCTAAACAGAACATTCCCAAACTGCTAAATCTTTCGCGGTGGTAAAAACGGATCGTGAATCAAAGCTGGAAAGATGCAAGAAGGGAGAGTCCGTGTGTTGAGGCATCCCTGAGCCCAGCTCGTCCCCAGGGCTGTGCAGGTTTGCCCTTTCTTCTCCTCTATAGTCAGTTTTCAAGGGTCTGGAAGGGGATGGAGAATGAAACACAAGTATCTGAGGCAGAACTAAATTCAGAGACCCCAACAGCGAGCTTCATCTCACTGACTGAGGCACCTGAGAGCAGGTATTTACTTGTGAGTTTGGGGTCTTCTGCTGAGGTCTACTGGGATTCAACCCCCACGCTGAAGCCTGGAGACACAGTGGGGCAACATGACCAGCCTTCAGCAGGGGCTGCAGAAGAGCCAAGGGCTCTGTCGGGTCCTGCGTCCTGCATGGACATCGCAGAGCCTCACGAGGCCTCAGCTGGCTGCTCCAGGTCCAGCTCTTCCCATGGAGCTCGCAGGGAAGAAAATTGGTTTGGGCAGACATAGGTGAGCAGAGCAACTATGATTATTTGTAATTATAGTAAAACTCCTACAAGAGTCTGTTTTATCTCTGTTATTATGGACCCTTTGGGCTTTCTGACACTCAGAGATGGCACAGATTTAATTAACAAATTAATTGGATCTTTGCAAAGCCATTAGCCACACTCTTCTTGGTGTATTTAAAGCCACATAACCCCTTGCTCTGGCATGGGTGTGTTGATAAGTATGCTTTGTGACACGATGGTTATCTGAGTAATGAGGGAGGGGATGATGCTGGATGAAGCCTTACTGCTGAGCTTCCAGCAGCATCCCAGGCAGTAATACAGCAGGGCTATAATCATGTGCTGATTTCAGCTCACATCATCAGTTCAGGATCAGAGACACGATCAGAGGATGAGCACCGCTCTTTCAGCTGGGTCATCCATCAGCAATGTTCATTTGCTCCCAGATATCTGGGGCTGGACAGCCCCATCCTCCCCTCTCCCTTCTTTCTGTATTAGCGTTCCACTTTCCCAGTGCGGTCACATTATGGTTTGGAATTATCCTCCTCTGTCTTTGATCTTCCTTGAGCCCAGACTTGCTTTCCTTCTCACTGTGCTGCTCAGTGGGTGCTGCCATCCCAGATTTCCTTCCATGTTGCTCACGTCACGAGATGCTGTCTCTTCTCACTGCTGATCCCCCTTTGTGTGTAAGTCTCATCACTTTAGAGATTGATGGGTTGATGGAAAACAGAGATATTTCCAAGCAAACAGGGCCCGAGGGCTGTGTTTAGGCTCCCTATGGCCACAGAGAGTTGATTCACCTTTGGGAGTTGATTCACTGCACCCAAGTTGGACAGTTGCCTGAGATGAGAGAACTCCACTAAGGTCCATCTTTCCCCATTCACCTCAATCATGAATTTACCCTAGATAGCCTTAACTGCTCCCAGTGCCTCCTACCCCTGGCAGAGATGGATGCCATCCTTGTGAAGGCCTGCGGCAGCATTCACAACTGTGAGCTGGGCAACTCTGAGTAGCTCTCAGCCAACTGACCCTGGTCTAACAGAACTACAATGAATGAGTGCCCAGTGACCAAGGGACGAAGTCAGTTGTCTCCAGGTGGGCAACAGTCACCTCACTAAGGATGAGAGCGAGTGGAAACGTATGTAAATCATCCTAAGGGGATGAAGTGCAGGAGGATCGCTCCCTCTCATCCAGAACTTTAGAGCAAGAAAGGTGAATGCAAGAATTATAGCTGCGTCAGGTTGAAAAATGTGCCTTGTGTAGAACTACTCACCTGGATTTGTAGTTGTAGTAAAAAGTTGCTTTTCTTGCTATCAGAGCCAGGCAATAACAAGGTTGGATTCCATACTTTCCCCAGTGGCGTATGTTGAAACTGAGGGTCTTCTACACAAGGCTGAGCACTGAGACGTGGCAGTGGTAGCAGTGCTTTGGTGCTCCTGACCCATGGGACCCCTGTGGGCTTCTAACAGCAGGGATAACCAAGGGGAGACTTTCAGGCAAAGGTGGGCAAACTTCTCCCACGAGCTGTTCTGTAACAGACTGCTCTACAAGCGTCTAAGATTAGCTTCTGACAGCTCCATTAGACGTAGCTGCTGAGTAAATTTAGATCCTTAGTGAATGGGTTATTTTCTCTCCCAGACTATCCAGGCTGGGAGGGCAGTGCAGAGTCATTGGCTTTGCCATGTGACTCATCTTCCCCAGCACCAGGAGATGGTGACTCTGTTTCCCTTCCTGTGCACCTAGGGGTGCCCAAAAAGACAGAGCCCTTGGACTCTGCAGCTCAGGGAGGCTTCAGCTGTCTGCAGACACCTGCATGGGGGAGAAAAATTGGATTTTACACTAGGAGAGGGCACAGTGTGTCATAGCTGAGGTGCTGGATCGACACCTACCAAAGGTCCAGCAGCAAACCTCTGTTTAAAGAAAGGTGTGCCTGGCAGCTGGAGGAGTTCTATGGATGTGACTGGAAGTGCAACCAAGGCACAATGCCTCACTGCACTTCCAACTTTTGGGGCCAGGCTCCCACAAAGAAAACCCACATGACTTCTACCTCCAAAGCTACGCAGACAACAGTTTTACAGCAGTAGGCTCATAAAATGGTACCAGCATGGCAGTAGACTCAAAATACGAATCAAGCTACAGCCACACATCACCAGCTTTGATCTGATAATGATGAGTGGGTCTCTTAAAATCAGCAGTGTCCTTAGATGTCAAAATTGCAAACAGACCCTGGATCTCTCAGTTCCAGGGAGATCAGCATGTCTCCCAGGGTTCTCTGGAATCATAGCAACACAACACTGATGAGTGGTAGGCACCATAGATGTCCAACAATTTTTTTACTACATAAATAAATGACATTTATCAGGGACTTTGTCAATCACTTGGGCAGAGCTGAAAGCTGACAAGGAACCATTCCTGCTTCATCCGCAGAGAAGCCAGAACACAGCAGCACCAAGCATCTCAACCCATGTTGCAAAGTGGTCCACATTCTACCCTCACCACACACTGACACCATTCACACATAAGGCCTCTGAAAGCTGCTGTAAAGTGCAAGAGAGCTGGATCTATTTCCAGTGACAGACCCAGCTCCTCCCCAAGGCACCGTGGGGTCATTTATTCAGTGCACTTCCCATATAGTGCCTCAAAGCCCACCTCTCCAAGGAGGCTATCAGACACTTCCCCTCCACCACCCAGCCCCGAAGTGCTGCCCTTTATTTGGTGCCTTTCTCCTTTGGTTGTATGTATGTGTGTGTGCTCGTGTAGCACAGGCTTAGGCTGTGTGCATCAAAGTCAGGCTGGGAGGCTGGAGATGGGCAAGAATTGACTACTGAGCCCTTGGCCATGGACAGGAATGTGAGCTTCAACTTTTGTCCATGTCATGCAAAAAAAACTGAGTGGTACTTGGTTCGAGTCCCAGGGCATGTGTCACATTGGGGTGGTTGCAAAGGGCCCTTTGGGGCTGAGCTGGGTCTGGGCTGAGCTTTGTGAGCTGTGCTTTTCCTTCCACATGCCCACCCTGCAGATGAGCAGCACGTGATGTGCTCTGGCTGTGAAGCAGGCATGCCCCCTGCGTTGCCACTGACTACACCTGAAGCTGGCACTAAATCATTTCTCAAGATGTTTAGGACTGAAGGGACCTGTTTTGAGATACTAACAGACATCAGTCTGCACCGCTGACGGCAGCGGGAAGACAATTACTCTTCCCTTCTGCAGTTCCTGAACCTCTTTCCCTTTGCTATAAAAGACTGTTCTATTTATTTATTAGCCTCTTGGTAGGCATCCATTGTGCTGAGCCATTTCACAGTCCCTAATGCACAGCCCCAGATGTTGAACCATTTACGGTATATGATGACCATTTCTTGTAGCAAAAGAAAAATGTGATGCTTTGGCCGGAAGCGACCTAGAGATGGGAGACCTGGGCTGCAGGTCCCGTGGGAGAGCCAGATGCTGGAGGATCGGGTGTTTTGGGGAGCAGAGGGTGAAATCTCTAAGCCTGCGCGGTGCCAAAGGGTCAGAAAAAGGATGGAGCCTTAAAGATGTGTCTCAGGAGCCTATCTCAGTGGTCCGCCACGTGTGGGGAGCGTGCAAAATGCCTGCTGTGCCACAGGAGATCCCTGCAGCAAAGGGGTGGCATCTGCCTTCCAGATGACTTCTCTATAGGTGAGTTACAGCAGTCTGATTGCCAGGAGTGCTTGGAGAGCCCCCGACAGCGGCTGGCCTGGTAGAGACAGTCAGAAGGGAGTCCAGGCTCTGGGGCAAGCGCACTGCTATCTTCCTCTACTCTGCCTTGGGTTTGTCCCTCTTCTCCTCTTCCACGGCCAGGATGCGTTCACGCTCTTTGATCAGCTGCACTCCACAGTATGTGATGAACCAGATGGACAAGGTGCTGACAGGGAAACCTGGAAGATGGAGGGAGACATGGTCATCTTGGTGTGCTGCTTACCTAATGGGGCCAACGCTTCTCTGGCACCTCTGCTCCTCAGGTGGGCATGGGAGGTCCCCGGGTTCATGGCTACAGTTATTTTTCTTTGTGGATCCAAACCAACAGCTTCACAGAGGGAGGAGAGAAATCCCCAAGGATGGGTTTTAGACGAAGAAGTGCTTAAAGCCATGAGGGCATCCTGGATCACAGTTAATGTTGTGGGAACATGCTGGAGTTTTGCTTTGAGCTCTCGCTGACCCCCAGATCTGCTTTGCCTGTTGAGTTCAGACTCAGCAGTTGGCTTCGTAACCTGCCATCACTCATCCTTGTTCAGCACTGCAACCTTCTGGAATCTTTAGACCCTGCTGACACTGAGGGTTAACCTCAGCTTAGTTGCATCCCTATGTGGGAACACGTTTTTGTCACCTTGATAAGTAACAAGAGCTGGGAGGATGCCTTCAACTTAGGAAGGGCCAGTGGGCGTTTGTGACAACAAGTTGGGTATCCACAGCAGATAAGAGGCACAGGCTTTGTACCTGCTAAAAGAGGACCTCTGCAATGAATAATGCCACCCACAAAAGCCAGCTAACTCAGCGTGCAGGCACTTCTGGCACATAGAGCCCAGCATGTCACATTATCCATTTCCTAAGCCAGACCTGTCCCAAAGGGGGCTGAAGGACATGGATTCCAGGTGGCTATTTATACAGTGAGTTGCTTGAGAAGACTCCAAAATAGTACCAGCATCTGCCAACAACAAAATGTAGATAATTCTGTTCGTAAGGAGCCTAGCATAAGGATTTGTACATGTCACCTTCAGGCTGGTGCAGAAAGAACTACTAAAGAAAAGGGAAATGAAATAGGACGAGTAAATCCTTTTCTCCAGTAAGGGGACCATTCTGCACCCAGGGACTCAGCCCACCTGGGAGAGATCCCCAGCTGCAACCTCTGTATTGCAGCAAGTCACAGCGTGAGGCTGTATGAGGAAATGCACAAACGAAGGCAGCTCATACCTCAAAGAACTGGCATGAATCATAGAATCATTAAGATTGAAAAGACCAATGAGACCATCTAGTCCAGGCATTAACCCAGATGGGAGCTAAGAGATCCATATTTTCACATCTTTCACAAGAACAGACGTGGCTGGGAGCAGCCATGTAACATGGCATCAGCCAGGCTGCCTTGGACACTGGAGGACTTGGCAGCCCACACCCCATATCTGCCCACCAGGACAGGGACTGCTCAGTGGGGAAGGCCTCTGGCACCTTACCTGTCACGAGGAGTCTCTTGGTGACCAGCAGTGCAAACTCCAGACTGTTGAGGGCTAGGATGTTGTAGAGGACGATGGCCCAGAAATTTGCTGCCCCAAAAACAGCCCTAATCCGCCGAGATGTGGCCGCTGACATTTTGGCCTACGTAGGAGAGAAGAATAGAGTGAGGGAAAATGGAGCTGCAAGGAGATGCTGTTAGTCCGACAGCAGCCAAAATTCATCAGGGTGGTACGCATGGTTTCATGCTAATTGTGATGGCTGGGCACTCCTCTCTTCATCTGCTGCCTCGAGGCAGATGAATGCTGCTGTTTGCTGGGATTATCATTAGCCCTACATCCCAGGCACTCCCAGCTCCCCAGGAGCAGAGAAGTGGTTTACAGCAGTCTTCTAAGAGCATGATGCATCATCCCCAGACCACTCAGTGCTGAGAGTTGCAGTGCTGCAGGGAAAGAGATTTCGCTGCCTGAGGGTGCCTTAATCTGATTGGAAGTAAAAAGAGCAGAGCAAACAGGAGGATTGCTCTGCCATGTTTTTGTTTAAAAGGAGTCTTTACTGACTCTGTGTAGGACCTCAGGCTTTGGGCTGGGCAAAACAAATAAACAACAAAATTGTTCCCAGAATGGAGTTTTTTCCAACCATGTCTCCGAGGCATCTTGGTCCCAAACAAGGATGGGGCACTGAGCTTTGGAGTGGTTGGAAAACAATTCATTCTAAATATTTGCTTTTATCAGAAATCAGATCAAAAGCCCTCAGAATGCCAAAGCGTTTCGCAGAACAAGAAAAGCAAATGATTTCTGCATGGAAATGTATAAGAAATTCCCTATGGACAGACCTCTGGAATCCATTTGTGCTATTTCAGCGCCTCACTGGAGCTGCAGTCCTGCACTTCTTTTCTCTTTGAAAGCTCCATCCTCTGCCCAAATTTCCTATGAAGCATCATAGGGGTGGGGGGGATTTGCTCTAGGTGAGTGACACCATGCAGGAAATTCAAGGTCTTCTTGCATAGTTGTGCTGGTATCACAGGACCAAAGAATAGCTTATGTTGGAAGGGATCTTAAAGACCACTGAGCTCCCATCCTCTGCCATGGTGCCCCCCACCAGATCATGCTGCTCAAAGCCCCATCCAATCTGGGCTTGAGCACATCCAGGGATGGGGCATCCGCAGCTCTCTGGGCAGTACCTGAACATAGTGCTGATAGGAAAGTACTGTAGGAAGCCTGGACATGGAGCTGCATGACATCATTGGAGACGTTGCTCTTCAGTCTCAGCTGAATGGATTTCATTTGTCTAAAGAAATGTGAGCTCCCTGCAGTCATAAGTGTTTCCAGGAGCAGAGTTTGTCCCCTGGCCCGCCGTTGTCCCCCCACCTGCTCACAGAGCATCTGCTCACCTCCAGTTTGGAGAGGGGCTCCCACTGGAAGAATTTCTGCACCCAGAGCTCAAAGTTGAGGCCAAAGCAATTGAAGACAGACCAGATGAAAACAATCTCACAGGGTCCCAACCACAGAGTGGTGACAGCAAACGTGGCAATGGTGGCCATGAGCTCCTTTATGACGTTGTCGTGGTTCTCTCCAATGTGGTCGTACACATACCTAATGGTCAATGAAAGTGATTAGTGCTCCCCATAGTCAAGGAAAACCCCTTCTTCCACATTTGCCCAAGACATGCTTCTCACAAACATGTCAATCTGGAGTGCATGATGAAAGAGAAGACCCCAAAATAGACAAGAGGTGGTTGAGTAGGCACTTACTTGCACAGCCAGTCGTTGATCCCTCTGTCAAAATGCCTACAATACAGATGGCAAACAGCACATTAGAACACGTGAGCTAATGACACCTTTCCAACCATAGAGGGTGCCTGGTCCCCCAACAAGGTTTACTTTGAACCTCATTCACAGTAGTTCCCCATGCTCTTTCCTAGAATAAGTCCTGCTACTGTGTGATCCCACTAGCCTCCCTCCTTACCATTGTTCCCTGCCCAGGAATATTTCCTTGGGCTATGACCAAGTCTAGTCTATAATTTCAGTACAGCCAACCTATTGGCTGGCTGCTCAGAAGCACAGCTCAGACCTCCTCATCTCCATGCATATTATTTTTAAGGTCAAACATGCTGCCTTCCATCAGCAACATACTCACGTTTCTGCAAAGACGTAGAGCATGGTGATGCATTTTGGGGGCTGGGGTGGGTCCAAGTGGTCCAGTCTGGCAATGGTGTTGATGACCCCAAACATGACAGCAGCTTTGACCCAGTCGTACACCAAATTGGAGTAGGCCAAGCCGGCTGGAGCAAAAACAGGAGTCAAAAGGACGAAGAGGATTTTATTCTGAGGGTCACAGTGTCACCTGAGCACCCAGTCACACCTCATCTCCCACTGTGGATGAGGCAGACCTGGCTGATGTGGTCAGCCTGCACAGCTCCATCTGGAGTAACACATATGCTTGATCAGGCCTTCCTGGTCTCTTAGGACACCCTAAATCAATGTTGTAGCCATCGTAACTGCATTAGGATTTCCTCCTGGCCTCCAGATGCCACTCCATATGACATGGGGCTGCTCTAGGCTAGTGTGGGTGTCACATACCCTGTGGCATCTCAAATTCTGCCATTGGACATTCACTTGGGAGACTGAAGTCTTCTATCCAGCTGCCAGCTGAATGCCAGTGTGCTACCACTACTCATCCTGGGAGTTTGGCTTCTAGAAGACCCTGGTTCAGACCTGCCCACAGCATAGCCAAATTTAAATAGAGATCAGGTTTCCTCAGACCTTGTCTCCCTTTCAGTCCATACAATAGGAATGACAGGGAGCTCAGTGGGAAGAAAGACTCTACTCAAATATGTCCAACACAGGCGCTGCTGAGGCTTCCCAATGGAGTAGGATGGGGGTCTGAATCACCCACCACTGCCTTGAAGCTAAGCAGAAAGGTGAGCACGTCCCCAAGACCACTCACCCAAGGCCCAGTCTGAGAGGCGGTTCACGAACTTCAGGTCGGAGGGGAGGGTGAGGATGTAGAAGAAGTGGAAGAAGATGTCCACAGCAATGATGGCCCCCACATGGAGGAGGGCATGGACCCGAATGTTCCTCATCTCATCATCTTTGCGATGCAGATCTCGGGTGCTCACCTGCCAGGATGGCAAAGCAGGAAGGGCTGAGCTGGGGGGCAAGGTGGGAAGCAAGACTGGAGAAACATTCAGGGTCCAAACAGGGACTCAACTTAGGAATTAAGGGACTCCTTTAGGAATCACACCATGACATACACTGTCCGAATTCCCATTGCTTAAAGAAGACCCAAGAAGAGGAAATGTCCTCAATGGGGTGAACACCATAACAACCAATGAGATAGAGTTTAGGATCTCTCCTTGGGGACATTCTCAAGAAATCAATTTAGCTTAAGGCTGACCTTTGCATAGGTCACTAAGTGTGAGTGTTAGATAGCCTTTTTTGCAGTAGAGATCTTCTAGCACTAAGGCATAAGCCTTTACTCCACTTTCTTACACAGTGGCTGCAGGTTTGCTGTTCACAATGAGCTGCTGAGGCAGAGCTCAATACAGGATGCAGTGAGGCTTTATTTCAGGCACCTGAGACAGTTTCATTGCTTTTTGTGACTGTAAAGCAGCCTCCTTCACTTTGTCATCAGCTGCTCTACTTCTCCATGCTCCCAAAGAATCTCCTTTTTTTGATGTCCCATTATATGTGCTACAGCAATTTCTTTGGGTAGTTTTTCCCAAAACCTGCCTAATCAGTCCTTCATGGGCCTATTTAATGTATCAGGTTCTTCCTCTGATAGTTTGAGATACCATTTCCTTGTCTTCCTTGCCATTTCCTTGTCTTCCTTGCCTACGCTTCTAGCTGTAATCTGCAATATCCAATTAAACCTAAACATTTTCACAACTTCCTTGTTCTGGGCTCATAGCCATCCCATCTACAAGATGCCACAACTTGTAAGAACAGGCATCCACGTGCTTGTCCCAGCCAGGAGCCCTGCCCAGGACAGGTGGGCATTTGGGCTGGGCTCATCTGGGAGGAGGAGGAGGATCAGGAGGATGGTTGATGAGCCCTGGAACTTCTGCTGTAGATATCTGTTGTAAGGGAGACAGACAGATGCACAAGGGGCATTTGGGAGCTCTCAGTGGGGCTTTCCTCTCTGCAGCACCCTGTGAGGACACGGCCTCTGGGAGCTGCCATTTCTCTGGATGTTGTAATACAGAAATCATCAGAGCGAGCAGTTGGGATTACACTGGGCAGACTGATGGCCTCGCTTCCCTGCACTGCTGTAAGAATTGCTGCTGTATTTAAAATCCTCTTATGTTTATGACTTTCCCTTTATTCCCAGTGGGAGGTGGGAGTTCTCTCAAAGCAATCTGCACGCTGCCGCACCAGCCCTGCCGTCAGAACCAGATGATTCCTGAGAATTAAAGCCTCTGACAGATTTTATCCTGTCTGTTGTATGCCAAGCACTTTAAGGACACAAAGAGGCTGCTGAGACGGAGAAGAAAGCAGGAGAGGACATGGGGATCGGGTCTCTGTCCCCAGCACTTCCAGCCCCCACAGAAGTGAGTTTGTTTCCCTCCTCTCAGTAAGAGAGACAGCCTGAGAAGGATTGGCCAAGCCGTGGTTGAATAGTAGGAAAAACTTCTTCTCTGAAAGAGTGGCAATGCAGTGGCACAGCTGCCCAGGGAGGTGGTGAGGTCAACATTGCTGAAGGTGCTGAAGAACAGTGGAGATGAGGGATGTGATCAGTGGGCTGGGATTGGACTTTGGGATATCAGAGGTGTTTTCCAACCTGAATGATACTGTGATTCCACAGTCCCACTACCCATGGGGGATGCAGGGTGAAAGGGCCCCTCCAGGACACAGCACCATTAGGAGCCAAGGAGATCCATCCCCTAACGAGGCCATACATCCCATCTGGAGAAAGGACTCAATCTATCCGCCTTTATAATTACTACTGGGCAATTAGGAACTAGCTCTACAATTAGCCGCAGGGCCAGCAGTGCAGGGTGGCACCTCGCCAGGAGGTGGCAGTGGTGTCCAGGCCAAGGCAGGTCCCCGGTCTGTGGGGTGGGAAAGGGGCTGGACTCTCTCACCGTGCCTTTGGGGACAGGGTTTTACGCAGCAGAGGAGGGGATTGCTCATTAAGTGGCTACAAACACCCCTATCTGGGATAATGTGGAAGGAGCAGGAAACAAAGACCCACTCACATCACCTGTATGGTGATGGGAGCTCGTGTCTTGCAGGCACCACGAGTCCAGTGACCTGATTTATTTACACCTGACAGCATCATTAGAAGAAACACAGAAACATAGCCTGGGCTGTGTTCTCTTCTGAATTCATGAAAGAATGTCTGAAATGTTCTTGCATCCAGATGTCAGAGCCCCAAAATTATTGGAATTATTCATTCTCTGAAAGGAAGCAGCAGCGTGGACAGTAATCATTAGCTGGGCTTCCTGGCACATCAGCAAGCCATACCAGCTTATTTGGGTAAGACTTGGGACCAAGGCTGGTCACTGGGGTCGAAGGATCCCAGGACTGGAAAAGCAGTTGCTCGATCTTTGAATGTGAAAGAACCCAGATGCGACAGCCCAGGGGTCTGCTGTTTGGAGTCTGCCCTTCACAAAGCTCCCTTGGTTGTGTGCAGTATATGAGATGTCCAAGTTTGGTCATCTGGATCAGAGGAAGCATCAGGACAGAGGCTGCCAAAACACAGCAGCACAAGTGCCCAACAAGCAAGGGAACGAGATGAGCCTTCCTGCCCTCAATCCCAACATGGCACATTCACCATGACAGTGTCCTCCTTTCTGTGTTGGTGAGGAGAAATGGCCAAAAACCCAAAAGAGAAGATGAAAATCCCTTCAGTTTTCGCCCCTCACCAAAACACACAGCTCCATTGTGCAGCCTGGTCTGTGTCCATGGCCTACATGACCTCTATGACTGCTTACGCCTTCACTGTGGCCAACAGTGGGGATTTGTAGACCTTCAGTTCACGCAGATCAACTCAAGAGGCCATAGGGACACTCACCTGGGTGTGAAACTGGTCAAACGTCATGACAGGCCCGAAGAAGAAGAAGGGAAGGTAGAAGTTGTACTTGAGGAGGTCGAAGATGGAGAAAATGCCCTCCTTCCTCTCGGAGCTCTCGAGCGCGAAGCTCATGCAGCGCATGATGGTGAAGCCACTTCCTCCATAGAAAAGGACATCTTGAAGATCAAAAGCTCCTGTTACAAACCCGCTCTGGGTGAGAAATGGACAGTTACCACCAGGCACGCGGCATCACTTCGGTTCTCCCTCATCTTGCAGAAAACATCCACATTTGGGGCAGTTGGCAAAGCCCCTAATTACTCTCCGGCAATTATCCCTGCAGCTAATGAGCATTGCTGTTGGAGGGTCAAGCCAGGGCTCCATTTTCGTTCTGGCTCCTACATCCCAGAGGAGTGGGAGGTCCTCTTAGCCAACACAGTCCACAGTCACTTGGTGAAGATGTGTTTGTGATCTGGGATGGGAATGTCACTTTGTCCCAGGGCAGAGGGACAAAGCCTCCTCCTCCCCCAGAGGGAGGAGGGAAGCGGTGGAAGCCCAGTGGAGAGGCAGGAGCACATTTCAGGAAGTGATGATGGGCAGGGATTGGCAGTACTGCCCTTCAGAGGGACTGCATGACTTTATAAGGTTCTCCCTGGGCTTCTCCCCACCCACCAGTGAGAGAAAGCCTTCAACTGTACAGGTAGGCACCCATCCCAGCGCTGCATGGCAGGTGGGGAAACTGAGGTATGGGGGAAGAAAATTCCTTGCTTGGTGTCATCTGACAAACTGCTGTCTAAGCAGCAAGATGGAAACCACCAGTATGTGACACAGCCCCCAGGGGACTGCTCCTGAGCTCAGTGCCACAATGCTGCCCTGCTCTCAAACCCTAAGGAGCTGACACAGGTCAAGGAAAAGGAGTAGGGGTCTGGGAACACCCAAGGAAGTAAACCCAAGGAGAGGGATGGGAGGCAGAGGGGAGGCTCAGGATGGCACCTACCTGCCAGGAGCTGAAGGGCTCCAGCTTGATAGAGGCGAGGCAGCAGAGCCCAGCCACATAGCAGAGCCACTTCTGCTTGGCCAGCGCCACGGAGTAGAGGATGAGGCAGTGGGAAAGGATGATCATCAGGTAGGCGAGCCCCATGCTGCCCAGCACAGCCAGCATCCCATACAGCATATATACCACGGCCCGGTGCTGCGAGGGGAAACCATCAGAAGGGTGGCAGCCCTCAGCCCTCCCTCCTCCAAACTGCCCTGCAGCATCCCATCCATGCCCGCCCAATGGATACCAGGTAAACCCACTGCTTTTAACCCAGCCCTGACTCACCTGTGGCACTGTCATGGAGCACACCTTGGCAAAGAGGACGTGTCCTGAGAGGGTGAAGATGATGACGTTCCTGAAGGAGGTGAACCACATCATCCACTCGAAGTCGGCTACGTCCTGTGGGAGCAGCAGGCTGCTTAATGGTCCCCAGGCTCTATGTCCCCACCCCACTGCCCATTTCAAGAGGAAAGCACATGCATTTGAGAGCCCTTTCTTCCCAATTTCCACCCAAGGGCTGACAAGAACTTTAGCTTTGTCATAAAGCCTGGGAAGAGACAAATCCAAATCAGAGCATCCTCCGTGCTGCAGGGCTACCATTTCCCTGACAACATCCACTCCTTTCTTAGGGGACAAAATACACGAGGATTTTTCAAAAGTGTCCATAGCAGAACAAGAGCTCTGCTTCCTCCTCTTACCATTTTCCTGCCAAAGTAGTGCCAGCCTGGCTTGATGCCATCCCGAAAGGCTTTTCTGTTCATGCTGTCTGCAGAAGAACAAGAGTTACCATAGAATCATAGAATGGCCTGGGTTGAAAAGGCCTTAATGATCATCCACTTTCAACCTCCCTGCCACAGGTAGGGTCACCAACCACTAGACCAGGCTGCAAATTTCTGGGGAGAAGGGTTCAGGTTGAATAACAGGAACAATTAATTCCTGTAGGAGTGGTGCTGCAGTGGCACAGGCTGCCCAGGGCCGTGATGGTGTCACTGCACCTGGAGGTGTGGGGATGTGGCACTGAGGGCCATAACGGGCATGGTGGGGTGGGGTGGGATTGGGGATCTCAGTGATCTTTCCAACCATAGTGATTCTATGATAAAAGCAAAGAGGGAGCTACGTTTTGGCAAGGCAAGGAACCTTCCTCACCACGAAGATGAGTCATGGGGGCCCAAACACCCTCAGCCCCATCCTGAAAGTTCCCATTTCTAATGGAAAACTGGGAGTCAGGAACGTCAACCATTCCTGCATGAGTTCCCACTTGGAGGGGTGCATTTTTCAGGTGTTTCTTTCTACTTCTAGGCAAAAGAACCATTGGGAAGTGAATCCGTGTGATGCTGGTGGCATGCTCAGGGCAACAGCTGGAGAGCCATAGGAATGGGGCCATGTGGGCAACAAGGCTGAAAGCAGTGGGTATTAAATCCCTTTGGATCCACTCTAAAGGACTCCCAAGTTACTATCCACCAAACAAATTAAAGCTATGATGTTGATAAGGAAGGAGAGGAAGGACACAATGAGGGATATTTACCTCTGGATGCCTCAAAGATACCGCTGCCACTGTACAGCACGGCACAGGTCACAACGAGAGCATAGAAGCCCAGCTCATGGCTGGGCAGCATCGTCTTAACCCCCATAGCTGTGGGTTACTGCTGGGTGTAGGGGATCCAGACCTGGGAAAGGGGAGGGAATGAAACCCGAGGTAAAAGCTCAGCCACCCCACAGATGCCTTAAGTTACTGCTGGTCCTCAGTCACCCTGCTTGGTGGGCTCCTGTGTAGGCTGGTAGAAGAGGAGCAAGCAGCATTAGCTGAATGCTGGGGGAGCCCCAAACCCACCCAGGATACAGGATTTGGGCTCACACCCATCCCAAGATTAGGATGGGGTTCTTCCTGCATCACCCCTCACTTCTTGGTGGGATGCAGGTCAAGCCCAAAGGTGCTGAAGGGGATGCAGAGAAATTTCCCCCCTTCCCCACCCACTGCCTGCTTACTGCAGGTGTTTTACTTTGCTCTGGGCTCTCAGCATGTACCTGTGTGCAGGGGGTGTTCCCAAAGCCCTGGGCTAATGACTCCTGCCAATACTAATTAACCCCGGCACTGCAACACCTTCCCATCCCAATCTCCCATCGCCTCCGCGGGTCGTCAGCTGCCCAAATCATTTTGGGGCTTGGGGGGGAGGAGGAGCAGCAGCAGTAGGGCTGGGGTCGGGTGAGTGTCCTGCGCTGTCAGCTCGGTGCCACCTCACCCCGTGGTGGCAGCGCCCTACTGCCCTGCCAGCATCCCCCGATCAGCAGAGCTCCGCGTTCAGACGGCAATTAAAAGCGGACCCACATCTGCAGCACAAAGCAGCGGGGTGGATTTGGGGTCAGCGGGCATTGCGGAGCCTAGGAGGGGGGGG